GGAGGATGAAGCCGCGTTCGAAAGCGACTACATTGCGTAGACGACGCTTCTTGGTGTTCAGAGCCTACGTAGAGCGCCCCCTGCTACTGCTCGATAATGAATTAACGTCTATTCAGTGCTGTCTCTCTTCCATTATTGTGAGCAGCAAATGCAATCGTTGCACTTCGAGTCGACGTAGCTCTGTAGTGTATTTGGAATGCTGTAGACGTTACAATGGAATTGCTTACATCCAGTGTATTGTGGATGTCAGTTGGTCACACGACTCGATCGTGGTCTGTGTGCAGCACTTCCTCGTCGTGTGGAGTAGGTACAGTACTGTAGGAGTGTGAAGGCTCCGAGTCTTCAATAGTTTTACATGAGTGTTCTGTCTGCAGCGCTTCCTAGTCTTGCGGTCAAGGTACGGCGAAAGTTACGCACAACTGACACGAGTCTGTACCAATCGGTAGTCGTTTTTGGATGGCTCTTGACTGTACGACCTCTTGGAACTCTTGTCACTCCTCAACTTGCCTGCTATGAAGTCCTTCGCCACTGCCTGCCTGCTCTTGGTCCTCTCAACGGTGGTCTCATATTACTGTGCAATGCGCTGATAACTAAGATGTTCAGCTCATGACAGTGAATCGACTGTACTTTACTGTAGTCCGCGCATTTGTATTGTCGAGTAGAAGTTTCTTCCAAAAGGCCGTGATACTCCTGCACTTCTGACACCGTTACTACTTCCCAGCCACAACTTGCACTTTTCGTTCGATCGAAACAGGGATTGGACATGTGAATTCGCAGGAGTAGCTACTATTGGTGGCAGTGACACAAATTAGAATCATGGATGCTACTGAAACCTGCAATCCCAGACAAGTAGGCAAGTTGAATGTCAACAAGTTGCAGAATTCCATGGCAGATGTAAGTCATGCTCCGTGCCGGTACCGTACACAAGCTGGACCCACAAAAGTACTGCTATTAATAGTACTACAGTGCACCGTTGTCCGTAACTATTATTAATAGTAATAGTGTAGGCTACACTATTGGCGAAACGTCATTTGGAAGGGTCCAACGCATGAATAGTGTAGCCTTCAGGTAACATTATATACTAGTACTTCGTAAATGAATAATGTTGCCTACTCATTGAAATTCACATATTATTAATGTAGGCTAAAATGTCCACAAATCCAACGCACTCTCTGATAATATGACCAACGATTGTAAGTTGCATTTACTACCGGTACATGTGTACGTGCTTCAGTTCCAACGCGTAGACTACTTGGTGTTTTTTTCGTCGACACTGAGGATATATATCAGCTACCAAGTAGAGACTCACCAAATAAGCTATATTTCAATGTATTTGAAGGTCGCCATAGAGGATCACTTCCAAGAAATGTACCTCCGATTGGAAATGATTGATAGGTTTCACTTATTATAGTTGAGCATTGAACTATTGTATTTCAGTCAAAATAGTTATTGCCGTGACGATGGGCATACTGCCATACTAGTATAGAGAATTTCACTAGAAATCCGATTTTACAGGTGTTAATTTCTCCGAGAGTCCGAATTAGAATATGCAGTACCAGTAGTACCAGTAGTAGACGTTATGGTCAAAACTGATCAGGAATGATGCTGAAATTTCACTAGGGGGAGTCAATTTAGGAAAAAAAATCAATTTTCATTTTCGCTTCTGCTTTTCACTTTCTTCTTTTCGTCACGAAAACCAAAAGCAACTTGAAGTTGGTGGAGCCCACCCATGTAACGTTGAAAATACCGAATCATACCGAATCATCGCAGTCTATTCCATGGCATACAAACACTAATACAAACACGAAAACGCAGGGGCAGTCACCAATTGTCAACCGAGAGCCCAAGCCGCAAGTGACGAAATCAGGTGTCGTAGGGAGCATGAAGCGCGAGCTTAGGACCATGATGAGTTATAGTAGAAGCATACCTAACTACTTCGTCGTCGAATAAGACGACCGTGCAGTGTGGGTCGTAATCGAGGTTTCCAAATTGGACACCGCCATTCGAGAGCCTTCGACAGTCGACGACAACGAGAATCCCAACCCTTCCTACCTGACGTCACCCCTCTTTTGAGTGCGGATACAGTACACTGTATCCGCACTCAAAAGAGGGGTGACGTCAGACTAGTAGTACACCCTACGAATGACTTCAAATTGACTCCACATTGCTTTTCGTGGAAGCTAATAAAAATACAAAGAATATAAATTTGCTTTTCACAATCGAACGAAAAGCGGAAATTTCCTAAATTGACTCCCCCTACTGTGCTTCCATATAATTTCTATACACCGATATTTGATTGCTTCTGAACATATCTGTTTATAGAGGTTTAGGTGGAGATATGTACGTACGTAGTACAGCAAATATAGAAATACCTGTATAATATAGGTTTACTTGTTATTTTAATTGTCATTTTAAAAAATAACAAGTAAACCTATAAATCATTTCCAATCGGAGGTACTGTAGTAGTACAGTAGTACTATGCTAACCGAACCTTGATTCGTACTACGTAGTACAGTACAACCACGACACTGGTGGCAAGTTATCAACCAAACAACGCATGTCCCATTCAATGTGGACTTACGTTAACGTAGGAAAGTGCCTGAATTGAATCGTC